TCATTTAAGACATGAGATGCATAGCCCTTTCATTATTTCATTGACGGTGTTCTTTAAGGCTTTTCACAGATTTACCCTCAGTTAAACCAGGACAACAGACTCCCTTCAGTATGAACTCAGCTCAGTCTAGTTATACAGATCCCCAAAGCCTAACCCGCTCGATTTCTGAAATATACATTTGCAATAGAAATAAAATATGATGTCTGTACTAAGAGACCTCAAAATAAGATCCTTAGAGGGGACCAGAGCTCTCAGCTTATCACTGTTAAACTATCATGAGTGTGATTGACAGATACTTAACTTCACTTAACCCAGCCCACTAATTACCCCTCTGCTCTGTTTAAGAGACATTCAAATGCACCTCAGTTTTACAAGAAGATTTAATTGAGTTTTAAAAGGTTGGTTTCTTCAAAAGGCATAAAACATTACACAAATCTATCTCAAAGACTTATGGGAACCATCTCAAAGCACCTTGAGGTACATATTGGAAGCATATGCAAATTGACCCAACTTACCACGAAGCATGTCAAATTTCTGATGTGTGCATTAAAGACGGTAAAACGGGCTGCACCTCTCTGTGTCGTTAATGTAAATCACACCATTAACCAGATGACTATGTAGGCCGCGGAGAGCTGATGGAATGGAGCGTAAATCACCAGATAAAGGTTCAATCAGTGACTAACGCTCCGTTTTTCTCTTTGGGTCTCACTTTTACGCTCTCTTTCCAAAGTGCCACTTGAAGGTAGTTAATGGAACCGCTGCCTCTAAAAGTTTATCCTTTCCATTCACCTCCGGTTGAGCTGCCTCATTACTGAAAAATGTTTCACTTGCCCTTTTCGATCTCTTAAATTCAATATAAAAAATAACAGCCTTGTACGAGATTGAACCATTTCCCTTCTCCCCTGCCTGGCACATGATCTTTAAGGAGAAAATTGGCAAAATTTACTTCTTTTTCACTCAAACATGGCTGTCTTTAAAGGGTTTCCAGACCTGAGCTTCCTTGAGATGCTACTAAATCCTGTCATCTAGTCTTACATTATATTTCCAAAGGACAATGTACAAAAAATGTAACAAAATCCGGAGTCCTTTTCTGTTGACCATGCAACAACCAATCAAAAATTATATGATATAAATTCAATATAATATTTTATATAATTATATTATATTATCCTAAAGTGTCATAACATTTGAGCATGTCACTATCCTTTTACTACAGTGCCATTTTAAAAGACTTTCCACACTATAGTACTATACTTGAAAAAAGTCTGCAACTCCACCAAAAATCACATGCGAGATAAAAGATTACTAAAGGCAACAAGGCAAACTTTTCAGTCACATGTTGACCTTTTTCAATGCCAAACACATTATACTGCAATATCCTGAAAATAATCAGTCAAACTACAAAATAAATTAAACATGCAACTACCTCCAGAAACAATGTATTCTTAGTACCTCTGTCTGAATGAACAGAATATATAATTTTCTATTTTCTTCTTGGCCATTATGTTTTGCAATATCTTGACTGCTGCAGAGCTCCATTATAGACACAGCTTAGGCTGGCTTAGACAAAATCATCCTCTACAAAATGTTGCAAAATGTTCATTTTGTTTGCTGCTTTCATGCTATTACTGAACCCAGAATAGACCCCTATTGTGCATGTGTGCACTCTGTTCCCATTAGAGAATAATACCACTGGAGCGGTTAATGAAGGATTTGATCAATTCAATCAGTTTATATTGTTCGGTACACAAAACCTGGAGCTTTATGGCTGAGCTTACCAATCACCGGACTAGCTCAAATATCATTTCAATCAAGACAGCTTTTTGAAAAAGTAATAGATGTATGTCTATCACCATCAAAAAATAATGTAAAATTTTTAGGCTGCATGCCTGACCAACTGAACAAGTGGGAAGTGAATTAAATTGATTAATGAATTAATCAATGTTGCCATCTGCTGGTCGTCTTGACGAATAGGTTTTTCTCAAACGTCTACAATAGTTCTCTCGTTTGCTAGATTGCAAAACTCTCCGTAAATTAATCAATATTTAGCGAATATGAACAAATATAATAGTTTGTTAATTACTTATTTCAAGAGATTGTGTGTATCTGAAAGAAAACCATAAGGTTATTATTAGTTTAACCTTTAAACCTATATTACCTCAAACTCACATGGCAACACAGTTTACAACTGTAATTTTAATGAGATTAAGGTTATTTTCTAGAAACTAGAACATATTAAAACCAGAGTAGGGGAGAGCGGGGCACAATGTAACACTTTTTGAATTTCTCAGTTTGTATACAGCCACATGGGGTTCAGAGTTTTTTTTTTGTTTTTTTTTTATCCACAGTAATTTTACACTTGTCTAGTACAAATACGTCGCTTTGTTTCATAATTACAGTGTATACATTTTTCTTTATTTACCCTCAAAAAATGGAAGTGAAATGTGACAACATGCCCCGTAGGTGGGGTACATTGTAACATCTGGGGAGCACGTTGTAACATGACCATATGACAGCTTAAAATGTTATCTGATCGAATGAAAAAATATACAAGACAAACTAAACTATTTTGTCAATAAAATAAAATTATTAACTTTTTCAACGTTTTTTTAAGAATTGAAAATAATCTGATTTTGGAGTTCGACAATGAACACATTGCAACCATGCTTGGGATGGCCCACAAAAATGAGCAAAAATGCTTTACATTTCTTGAAATAATAACTTCTGTGTCATAGAATAGCACATTGTAACGCAGTGTTACAACGTGCCCCATCTGCGCTACTGGAATTTAAAATTGGTCTTCTGCTAGTTAGCGTAGGATTAAAAAAAACAACAACTATCTAAACTGATACATAACAGATTGGAGATGAAAATACTAATAATAATAAAATAATCATTTAAATTAATACTAAAAACTGAGATGAAAAATGTACTTAAGCCAGAAATGTACTTTTACTATGGTAAAATAAATGTTCAGCGATATCTTCAAAAGATTTTTGAATTTTGGCGCACTTTTTCTCTATATAGTGTTGAAATGGTAACTAGTAAATACCATAATTGTTGTTATGCTAGCATGTGTGGAAATATTCAAACCACGTGTGTTACAACTAACCCCGCGTTACTTTGTGGCCCTCGCTCCCCGCCGTTACTGAGGTTCATATATATATATAGGTTCAGAAAGGTAAGTAGGCCTACGAGGCAATATACAGAGAAATCTTCTCCTTATGTGTAACACGTGTTGGCTATAATATGTTCATACACAGGCAAACTCAAGAATAACTTATGCAATTTTATATTATTTGAAATAATTAAAAGAGCAGTTTCATTAACTGGTCGAGGTTGATATGAGATTTAGGAGCTAATTAATAATAAATAATGCAATACATTTTAGAGAAAGTAATTAATAATCTACTTACCCTGTTGAAGATGTAATTAGTTAGTAATTAATTACTTTTTTAGAGTAACTTATTCAACACTGATCATTTAAAATGAATTCAAATGCTACAATAAATAAATAAGTGTACTTGACTGTACATATTAAGTGTTTTAATTTCAGATGAATAAAATTGGTATTACTATTTATTTATTTATTTATTTAAACCTGTGAATTTATGTTTTTGACTTGAAAATTGCTAAAAAAAAAAAAAATGAATATAAGATTAGTAAGGTAAAATTGCTTTTGCTTCTTTGGTCACCAAATTCACACAGCAGGTATTTCCAAAGTAACTGAAAGTGTGGATATACAAGTAAAAATAAAATCCAAAATGTGTTGTTAAAATTGCAGTAATACATGTACAAGGTATTTCGAAATTTACATTATCTGCAAAGGAAACTGACCTCCATTCAGGCTCAGTTTCTCTTTGTAACGCGTAGGCATGCTGACCAATCACAATGCGTTGTTTAAATCACATGTTGCCGGTTCACTGACGCAAAACCTCTGCGACTCCTACAGATCGTTCCTCCATGTGAATGTCGTCGCCGCTGTTATAAAAGCTGATTTGACAAGGTAAGAAAGCAATATTTGCTCTACCGGTGGTGACAGCGAAGTCCAGTTCAGTTTCGCTAAAACATGTTTATTGAACTGTATCAGTGTTTACTGGGCTGCCTAAAAATCTTGCTTATAATGATGAGTTTCGTAAGCTTATTGCGGCGCCTGCCTAAATCGGCAAGGTCAGAATAAACTTTAACCCATGACAGACAGCTAGGTAATTTAGACATTTGACAGATCTTTATATCGTGGTTAGATTCCGTATATTCGGAGAGTGTTGAAGCCCAGTACTCTTTTTTTTAATTTTTTGAAAGCAACAGTGCTAGTAAAATAATTTAATTTTTAAATGCAAAACATCACAGGAAGAATACAGGAAGTGCCCTTTTCAAAATGACCACCAGGCTGCTGTGCAGATGGGCGCGATTATTTCCTCGCTGCCCTCCGGCTGCCACAGCCTCAGCCCGACTACAGACCTCCACAGTCCACCAGACAGAGCCAGTGTGCCTGATGTCCCTGTCTTGGACCCGACCTTCTGCTAGGCACCTCTGTCAGGGCAATGAACTGGCTAGGATGGAGGAGACGGTTTTTCCATATGACCAAGCGCAACTAGTCCGACTTGTTGAAAAGGCATCCACCCCAGAGGAAGTGCTTCAGTTGTGGGCAGAACATGGCGGATCTGCCAGCGATGCTGCCAGGTGTCTAGTCCAGCTGAACCTGCGGGTCATGGAGAAGGGTGGCGAAGGAATCCTGCAGGATCCGCGCTGCGAGAGCATGCTGGAGACTGTACAATCTGAGGTAACCAATATTGAATTGAAAGTCCACTTGTCACTGATATCAAGACAGTAGAAGATTATCTTTGTTGTTGTTTTCTCACAGGTGTCCTCAGTGTGGAATGGATCTCTGGTGGGTCTTCTACGTGCTCTCACTATGTTGGGTCTCCCTTCTGATGCCCCTCTACTCCGCTCCATCCAGAATGAAGTGCTCTGGAGGATCCGGCGCCTCACATACCGTCACCTGGCCTACCTGGTGGACTGGGTAGCCTTTCAGCGAAAACGAGGGTGGGATACACATGCTTGACAAAGCTTGATTCTAATTAATAGAATTATTACCGCATGATAATTTAAAATGTAACATTTTAGGGATGACTAGTAGTCAGTGAAATTAGCTGATTATAGGGGTTGACTTTTTTCAGATTTTTGTATTAGCTGTACATTTTTAATATACATGCAGACAGGCTAATTAAAATGTTTTTTTGTGTGTGTTATGCTGTCTATATTCATTGCTCTGGTGGATATGAATCTGACTAATCATACAGAACTTCCTTAATACTGACTAGTCGTTCATATATCTGACCAACTAGCTGAATTATTTTTTTCATATCCCTGTCATATTTTTTTTTTGAATTTATTTGATTTCTATTAAATGATACAATTACTGTTTAAAGTTCGGGCTCTGTAAGATATTTTTTTGCAGAAATTTACACTTATGCAGTCAGGATGCATTAAATTGATAAAACGTGAGTGTAAAGAATTTTATATTGAAATATTTTTTTCCCAAATAAATGCTTTTCTTTTGAACTTTCTATTCTCTAAGAATCCTAAAAATAGGTATCATGGTTTCACAAAAGTATTGAGCAGCACAACATTTGTAATATTGATAATAATAGGAAATGTTTCTTGAACTCCAAATCAGTAATGATTTCTGAAGGATCATGTAACACTAAAGACTGGAGTAATGATGATGAAAATTCAGTTTTGCCATCACAGGAAAAAAATACATTTCAAAATATACGAAAACACAAAACAGTTATTTTAAAATGTAAAAAAAAAAAAATCTTATCGACCCCAAACTTTTGAGCATTTGTATGCGTCTGCTTTGTAAGGAACTGATATGAATGAGTACCTACATTGATCTTTTTTCTTAAAAGTTTAAGTTTTTGATGCTGTAGTTGGTCCAGTAAGTAGCTGGTCTGTTCTCATAATGTTGTTGTTTGTGTTGTGAAAGGTATGAAAATGAAGCGCTTACCACAGCCCTGCTGAAACAACTGGAGCTGCGCTGGACAGAGCTGTGTGACAGTCGTACTGTCAGCATTCTCATGGGCCGCGCTTCGCTTTTCACCCCCTCTCTCATGGACAAACTGGAGGACAAAGTGAGTGCACACACACAAACACCTTTAGCCAGCTAGTCAACCAAACATATTTGAACACACTTTTGAAATTGCGTTATGTTGCATTAGGCTTGTGTAACTTGACTGTCAAACACTAAACTGTATCTTATGCTTTCTAGGCTCTGGAGTTGGCAGAGAGCTTCAGTGCAGAGGATATCCGGAGAGTGGCATTTGCACTGGCCTCTCAAAACAGACGGGCCGTTCCTTTGTTACGTGCTCTCTCATACCACCTGAACCAGAAACCCTCTTTTGAACTGAAAACACCATTGCTGCTTGACATTGCATACGCTTATGGTCAGTGAGATTTTTTTTTTTCAGTTAACCTCATTAAACAGCTTTTTGTCTAGACTTGTATAAATAACTCTAAAAATGTAATTGTGTTCTCATTTTTCTCTAAATAAAAGGTAAGCTGAATTTTCATCAGACACAAGTGCTCCAGAGAATTGCGGCAGAGCTATTGCCTAGGTTATCAGAACTGAGTTCCCTCAACGTAACCCGCTGTGCCAAGTCTCTAGCCTTTCTCAAGTGGCTGCACTTGCCTCTATTTGAAGGTTTTGCTCAGGTTGGAACCATTTCTTATCAAATCCAAACCACCAAGTAAATTATACTTTCCTTGAAGGCAACCTTATATTTAGTTTGATTATTATTTTTCCCCTCTCTGTTGTTTTTCAGCACTATGTGAGTAATAGTAAAATCTACAGCACTCTGCAGGTGTGTAATCTCCTCATATCTTTCGCCAAACTCAACTTCCAACTTGGCAAAGGAGAGGAGTTTTACCAAAAGGTAACCAGTAAAGAGTGATATATAGATGTATATAGATATGCATGTATGTAATGTGTTTTTTTTGTGTGGCTATAGGTACACAAAGCTTTGGAAGGTTCCTTTCAGAATTTAGAGCCTTTCCTGAAAACAGACGTGGTCTGGTCGCTGTGCGTGCTGAACCAGGCCAATCCTGATTATATCTCCTCTGTTACAAAGTATGACTTCCAGAAGAAACTTGCAGGTGCGTAGGAATGAATGTGCTAAAAATATTCAAGAGGCTGTACTCTCCATTTTGGGACAGCTACTGAATTCACATTTCTTATGTTGCACAGTGATTAATATAAGTTGCTGTTCTCATCAGAAACACATGGTGGCAGTATAGCCTCATTTTCTTGTACAGCGGGTAAAATAAGTATTGAACACGTCACCATTTTTCTCAGTAAATATATTTCTAAAGGTGCCCTTGACATGAAATTTTCACTAGATGTCGGTAACAACCCAAGTAATCCATACAACAAAACAAATAAGTTTAGAAATCAAGTTCTGTTTAATAAAATGGAATGACACAGGGAAAAAGTATTGAACACATTTATTGAAATGCATTTATTACTTTGTACAAAAGCCTTTGTTGGTAATGACAGCTTCAAGATGCCTCCTGTATGGAGAAACTAGCCGGTGTGATTTTGGCCCATGCTTCCACACAAACAGTCTTCAAATTTTGAAGGTTCTGTGGGCCTCTTCTATGAACTCGGATCTGTAGTCCTTTCCATAGATTTTCTGTTGGATTCAAGTCAGGTGATTGACTGGGCCATTCTAGCAGCTTTATTTTCTTTCTCTGAAACCAATCGAGAGTTTCCTTGGCTGTGTTTGGGATCATTGTCTTGCTGAAATGTCCACCCTTGTTTCATCATCATCCTGGTAGATGACAGCAGATTTTTATCAAGAATGTCTCGGTACATTTTTCCATTCATCCTTTAATTATATGAATTTTGCCAGAGCCACACCATGATGTTTTTGGGGTGATGTGCAGTGCCATTTGACCTCCAAACATGGTGTGTATTATGGCATCCAAAGAGTTTCATTTTGGTCTCATCGGACAAGACTATATTTTCCCAGTATTTCACAGGCTTGTCTAAATGTTGTGCAGCAAACTTTAAACGAGATTCAACATGCTTTTTCTTCAGCAATAGAGCCTTGCGTGGTGAGCGTGAATACAGGCCACAGCGGTTGAGTGCATTACTTATTGTTTTCTTTGAAACAATTGTACCTGCTAATGCCAGGTCTTTCTGAAGATCTCCACAAGTGGTCACTGGCTCTTAGACAACTCTTCTGATAATTCGTTTCACTCCTCTGTCAGAAATCTTGCGAGGAGCACCTGGTCATAGCCGGTTTATGGTGAAATTGTGTTCTTTACACTTCCGGATTATGGCCCCAACAGTGCTCACTGGAACATTCAGAAGTATAGAAATCCTTCTGTAACCAATGCCATCAGTATGTTTTGCAACAATAAGGTTGTCGGTTGAGACTAAACCAGCTAATATTAATTTCCACTGACTAGGGGCAGGATTGCTTTCTAATTACTGATAGATTTCAGCTGGTGTCTTGGCTTTCCATGCTTTTTTGCACCTCCCTTTCTTCGTGTGTTCAATACTTTTTCCTGTGTCTTTCCACTTTATTACACAGAACTTAATTTCTGAACTTATTTGTTTTGTTTTCTTTGTATGTATGGATTAGTTGGGTTGTTACCGACATCTGGTGAAAATTTCATGTCAACAGCACCTTTAGAAATATATTTACTGAGAAAAATGGTGATGTGTTCAATACATATTTTACCCACTGTATCTGTCTTTTTTTCATGAAAGGAAGATCTAACATACACGGCCCTTCTATTTCAAATAATTCTGTTCCTTTGAACTTTCTAATCATCAAAGTATCCTTTAAAAAAGTATTGTGGTTGCCATAAAAATATTAAGCAGCACAACTGTTTTTAACATTTTTAAAAAATCATTATTTCTTGAGCACCAAATCAACATATTAGAAGGATTTCTGAAGGATCATGCGACACTGAAGACTGGAGTAATGGCTGCTGAAAATTCAGCTTTGCCATCACTGGAATAAATTAAATTTTATGATGCACAAAAATATAATTTGTGTAATATTTCACAATATTGCTGTTTTTACTATATTTACTATATTTCAATTATATTTTAATAAATGCAGATTTGGTGAGCGTAAGGAACTTCTTTAAAAAAAAATAATAATAAAAATTAAAGAACTTATCAACCCCAAACTTTTGAATGGTAGTCTATTTTAAAAAATGTTTCACCCCAAAATGAAAATATTTAATATGATGAATTATGATGAAATTAATTATTCACTCTGATGTCTATTTAAACTTGTATGCTGATATTTTTTTTTCATGGAACACAAACACAAATGTCAATCACCATTCACTTCTTTTCATACAAGGACAGTTCATACTAGTGAACAAGGCTGTCAACCTGTGTACTATAGTCAGTCTGCAGTGGTATGATATCATTAAAGTTTTCCTGTTCTATCCAACAGGTGGCATTGTGGATCGGACTGAGAGCTATCGACTGAAATTGCTGCATATCTCTGCCTTTGCTCTGTTGGAGCCTCTAGGAATCACTATTGAATCCCCCGCTGTGCTGCTGCTAGCTCCCCAGGGCAAAGTGGAGGTCAGCACCCCCCTGCAGAGCAGCCTACACACAGCCCTCCAGAGCCTGACCAACAGCCGGACACAGGCCCTCCGCTCTTCTGTCAAAACCATATACGGCTGGACAATAGGTGAGTAGCAACTGTGAACACCAGAGCGATGCGAGTTATGTACTTTTTTTCCAAGGTAACAGAGGTCATAGATCTGATTCATGAATCCTTAAATTGTAATCTAACAGAACATGTTAATCCTGTTAATTTGTGAATCTATTGCACAGACGGAGAACTTGTGGTAGATTCAGAAAATAAACCTATTGATTTGAAGAACTTGAAAGCCCCTCATTTACCTGGAGGCGGTGGACGTGATGCCTTACCTGCAGGGGCTCGACGGTGAGTGTTAAAGTGAAAGCCTTGTCCTAAACTCACATACAGAGATGATATTCTAAAATGTCAATTGTGTTTGTCCATTTGCAGAATAGCATTTGTGGCTTGGGAGTTTCCTAACTTTTGCCTCAGGAGCAAGGATCTTCTGGGCCGCTTTGCCATGCAGAAACGCCACCTACAGCTGGCTGGGTTTTTAGTGGTGGAGGTGAGACAGTGAAATACAAGAATAGGAGATGTAGGGCTGGGCGATATAGCTAAAAACATTAATCACGATATAATGTTTCATATCATTTGGTATCGGTAATTATTGAAAAATGGGTTTTGATTGGTTGTCCATGTTTTTACTCCTAATTGGCTGAAAAAATAATTGTGATTCCAGTGCTATCTTTCCTTTGTGTTATCGTTTTATCTGTAGTGTTCTCACTTCACGATTCTCACTGAATTAAGTTCTGTTTAACTTTATTATAAGTATGCACTGCAGTTTGTCATTTGCCGCTTTAACCGTTTAAGCTTTGATGTACATTCTGAATGGCTTTTAATGTTTTTATTGTTCATCGACTGTAAAAAAAAAAAAAAAAAAAA